ACAGAGCTTGACAACAGGGAAGAAAACGGGCACTCCCCTAGCACCTCACGCACCCGGAGCCCCTCACACCAATACACCTCCCGTCCTGGCAGCGCTGGAGGCGATAATCGGAGAGATGCCCATCACAGGAGACTGGAGACAGAAGCGAGGAATCCAATTACAACGTGAGAATTAAACCCTCACCGTGGCACCGCTAACATATGATTGGGAAACGGCATGGAACAGAGAAGACAGGAGTGAAAATGCACCCTCAGGGGAAAGCCTGTGATGGCCGCAGGGAGAGAGAGAGAGAAATTGCAATCAGGCAGATGTGGAGGGGAGGGGCCGGTGGCAGGTTTCTCCTTAACCCTAGGAACCACTGTGTCTAAGCACGAGAGCGCAGCAAACTGAAGTCTGGACTTGCGTTCCCTTTCTCTTTGGTGCTGTTGTGTGGATTTCAAATACAAACAGTCCCTTAAACGTACACTGTGTAGCTCGTGTCTTTAATCATCGCCTGCATTGAGAGATTTCTGAATTTACAGCCACATCATGTGGAAAACGGCTCATTTATTTTTTTAAGATGTTTCCTTGACTTTCAGAGAGAGAGAGAGGAAGGAAGGGGGAGAAAGATAAGACACATCAATGATGAAAGAGAAACACGGATTGGCGGCAGCCTCCTGCATAACCCCCTACGGGGGATGGAGCTCACAACCCAGGCCTGTGCCCTGACCGGGAATCGAACCGTGACCTCCTGGTTCACAGGTCGATGCTCAGGCACGGAGCCATGCTGGCCAGGGCAGGCTGCTTTCTATGGGTTGGTTTTAGGGCCTGAGCTGCAAACTGGTCTTCATTAGGTGGAAACCAACATCTGCCAACGGGACATGCTTTCTCCTTGGACACCCACCTTCCCGTAGCCCCTGCCTTTGCACACTGACACCAAAGAGAAGCCCATTTGCTAGAAATCACACAGGAAATTAAACCCTAAACTCAAAGTGCATGCCACCAAAAATACCGATCCTGTTTTGGTTTTTTTTTTTAACTGCAAAGCAAGAACACCTTGCTTCTGCCTCTGCCCACATACTCCTCAGCTGTTCCGGAGCCAGTGAGCAAGGCCCTGCCCCCAGGTTACAGAGACGCTGGAGCCTAGGAGCACAGCCCCCTTGTTCCTCGGAGGATCCTCGATCCTCCTCCATGGCAGATGCCTGGAAACATGAGATTGTGTGGGTTTTTCCACACCAACACAATTAGCATACAAAAGGCACGCTCAGCATTCAGGAAACTGGAATGGTTTTAGAGACTCTGTGCCAGGGACCCAGGGGAAAAAAAAAAAAAAAGAACAAAAGCATCTATTTGTTACACTGTCTTCCAAACTGTATCCACTCTCGCTTTTCCAGGTTTTCGCACTAGGGACCTGTGGGGAGGGCGGGAGGGAGAGAGGCCCAAGCTAGACCACTCCGCAAAGCCCCAACCAGCTATCTGGGACAAGAAACTCAGGCAGCCCTACTCCCTTCTGCGGCAGCACAAGGATGTTTAGATCAGATGAGCTATAAGATCTCGGATGGAGCTGGCCCGGGGGGCTCGGGGGTTGAATGCAGACCTAGGAACCAGGAAGTCACGGTTTGATTTTCGGTGCTTATAAAATTGCATTTAAAATTGTTGTTGTTGTTGTTAATCCTCACTTGAGGATATTTTTCCCATTGATTTTTAGAGTGTGGGAGGGAGTGGGGGGGAGGAAAGGGAGAGGAAGGAGTGGGAGAGGGAGAGGGGGGAGCGGGAAAGGGGAGGGGGAAAGGAGGAGGAAGACATCGATGTGAGAGAGACATATTGATTGGTTGCCTCCCACGTGTGCCTTGATCGGGGCTGGAGATCAAACCTGCAACCCAGGTAGATGCCTTTGACTGGAATTGAACTTGGGACCCTTCAGTCTGCAGTCCAATGCTCTATCCACTAGGTCAAACCTGCCAGGGAGCATTTAAATTTTTTTAAATTGATTTGAAAGAGAAAGGGGGGAGGAGAGAGGGAGAGAGAGAAACACATAGTTTTTTTTTCTCCCACTTATTTCCGCTCTCACTGGTTGACTCCTTGGCAGACAGGGACAGTGTTGCAGCAACCACTGGAGAAACCTCATCTGCAAGTCCCGGTTCTGGGTACGCAGGCTCTCTGCACCGCTGTTTGCACTGCCTACCTTTCCGCTCAGCCCCTCTGTCATCTGTCCGATGGGGACCGTCAGCTCATTCATCACCTGACAGATTTACTAACTCACTCATCATTCTGCCCGTCCTTCCCACTCATCCTCCACAGCCCAGCTGCCGCTCATTCTGACGTGCCAGCTGCCTGCCCACGTCTGCCAGCCAGCCCGGCGCTCCCCTCGGCGGGCTGCTGTCATTATCTCATTTGTCGGGACGTTTTAGTCCTTTTTCCTTATTAACTTGCCTTTGGGTATTTCCTAGGCTTTTTTCTTTCCATTTTTGTTCCCCCAGGCCAATCATTTGGTTCATTTGTTTATTATCACACGATATTATCCATCCCTTGTCATTTGACAGCTTTTCAGATTCCATTAACCAAGAGGTATAAGCATTTAAATTCTCTCTCTTGTTCCCATTAGATGAAACCCATCCAGGTTTTGCCCTGTGTTCAGCCGACTTAGAATTTGCAGGAGAATGACATTTAAATGAGCATGTATTGCCCGGCCAGCCTGGCTCAGTGGCTGAGCTTCAATCTATGAGCCAGAAGGTCATGGTTTGATTTCTGGTAAAGGCATATGCCCGGGGTTTCAAGCTCGGTCCCCAGTATGGGGCGTGCAGGAGGCAGCCGATCAATGATTCTCTTTCATCATTGATGTTTTTCTCTCCCTCTCCCTTCCTCTCTAAAATCAGTAAAAACATATATATTTTTTAAAAGCCTCTTTGTTAACAATATCACATAATTACACGAAAGGCAGACTGGTTCTTTCTCCCTCCTGAAGTCAGCGTGCAAATAGTGTAACTGATTTTTAAAAATTATCTTCGTAAAAAAATAAGAAAAAAAAATTCTCTTCATCTTTAGATCATATTGCCTACATATCACTATTCTTAAATCAATTTCAATCCATTTTTCTATCTTTCGGGGAATCGAAGCAAACATAGCAAAACAAATTTGATCCTTTGAGCCTTCTTTTCATTCCCAATCAGCATTGTTGTGTTTTGATAAAAATGCAACAATTTGATTTAATACCCATACAATCAGGGTGAAATATGGATGTTCCAATATTACCGTTACTTATGGTACCACATGAAACTATTCGGAGATGAGAGATAAGGTCCTTGAGTAATACTCTTCATTAAGAGAGGTTGGACATTTGGAAGAAAATCTGGTAACTAATAGCCTCTAAGTTACAATTTTTTAAAAGCCCGGTAAGTACAGAGAGTCCCTCAGAACAGCATATTAAATTCACTTTCAAATTAGTATAGTTCAGCATTTCAGCCTTATGATTTGTATGCTCGGTAATACTTTTAAAATTAACTGTGGCGCGGACGGACACAGCACACACTTCTCAGCCATAATAATTTTTCTAAGGCTGTATCTTTATAACAGTAATTGCCTTCTTAGTGAAAGAAGACGCATTTTCAATCGAGGGACACCTCATTTATTACTTTTCTTATATGAGAGCTACCTCAGCGTCTGAGATTTTATTATTTTCTTAACGACTTTTTCCTATGAGGAGAATGTGAAGGCTCCAGGGCAAAGCAAGCCCATTAGAAGGGAGGCATTCAGGAGGAGGCAGGGCTTTCCAACGTGGACACAAGACAGTTCTTGTCAAGAATGGACGATACAGCCCGGCCCGTGCTGCTCAGCGGTTGAGCATTCTCCTAGGAACCAGGAGGTCACAGTTCAATTCCTAGTCAAGGCCCATGCCCGGGTTGTGAGCTGGATCCCAAGTAGGGGGCGTGCAGGAAGCAGGGAATCGAACTGGCAATCTCCTGGTTCAAAGGTTGATGCTCAACCACTGAGCCACATAAGCTGGGTGGTCCATGTTCCTTTCTATCTCCGTTACTACCGGTCCATGTCATTATCTCCAAGTCTAATCACTTAAAGAAGAGATGTAAATAATCCATTACTGCAAAAAAAATGAAAAAAGCCATGCCATCTTTTCCATTATCCACCAGAACCGGGAAAACCTCCTGTCCTAGCACCGACATGGGCACATACAAACATTCATGTGAATGCTGAGAAAAACATGCCTCTAGACCAACAGACACAAATTCGCTTGGGGTGCTTTAGAGATGGAGAAACCAACATCCTCTTTCCATGTCTCCCCAGGACCATCCCAAAGCAACGTGAGAAACCATTCACTTATATACGTATACAAAAATGGATGTATTGATTTTTAGAGGGAGAAGGAGAGGGAGAGAGAAACGTCAACAGGCTGCCTCTTGCAAGCCTCCTACTGGGGATCGAGCCCATAACCCAGGCATGTGCTCTGACCAGGAATCGAACTGGTGACCTTTCGGTGCACGGGGTGACATCCAAACAAATGAGCCACACGGGCCAGGATGAGCAATACTCATTTCTTCACTCTTCTACTCCAATAAACATCCCTTCGCAGAGGTGCACAGTCTCCAAAAGACACACAGAGCTGACAGTCCTTGCACTCCGCTAAAACACATCCTCTCTGTGTGGTCATACATGAGCATACCTTTATGCATGCGCGTCCCCCCCTCTCCCTCCCCACCCCGTCTAGACAAAATGCATCTACACTTATTAGATCATCTTGGTTCATGGCATGTCCTTGTAGGAGGGACCGGAAGGGAGCGAACTGAGAGAGGAAGGCACCTGAGCATCTCAGGCAAACATCTGAACCGCACTCCCGGAAGCAAAGCAGGCCACATGCACTTGGTTATCACTCACGACGCTTTCAGCAAGGTCTGCTTTCCCCTTTGGGCAAAAAAGCCAGAACTCTGCGCCAGTCGCCCTGACTGCGCTTACACCACAGAGGCCTCAGCCATGTCCCCCGGCCTCCATGGAGAGCAGGTGCGACTTACCACGAGGGAGAGAGGCCTTTTCCAGGAGACAACACCAATGAGTCCTGACAGCAGCACCTGGAGAGACAAAGGGCGCAGGAAGGTGAGATGCTTCTGGACCTTTAACGCACAATCGAAACAGTGTGGACAGCTGCAATGTGAAGGATCACTTCTAGGACATGTGCACGCGCATGTGTGTGCACACACACACACACACACACACGTTATTCTCCAGCACAGAGCCCCAGGTCTCCCTCCCCAGCTCCTGTCCAAAAATGCACCTGCACTCCCTCTCCCCAACCCAGTCTTCCGTTTGGCACCCCTCCTCCTGATCACTCAAATCCTGGGGACAATCCCCTCTCCCTCACCCCAACATCCCAACAGGCACAGGGAAGAGAGGAGGTGGCTCCCCCTTCCTCAGGGCCCTGTTCCAGAGGCCCCGTTGTAAGTAGGTCCTAGTGTTTTCCCACAAGATCTCCATGAAGATGAGTCACCCAGGCAGTCAAGGCCCAAGCAGGAGAGGGCTTCAGATTTAAGACATAAATGCAGCCCTGCTGGCTGGCAAGGCTCAATGACTGAGCATCAAACTAAGAACCAGGAGGTCACGGTTTGATTCCCAGTCAGGGTACATGCCCATGTTATCAGCTCCATCCCCAGTAGGGGGCGTGCAGGAGGCAGCAGGTCCATGATTCGCTCTCATCATTGATGTTTCTCTCCCTCCCCCTTCCTCTCTGAAATCCATAAAAAACAAACAAACACCTATTTAAAAAAAAAAAAAGACATAAATACAAGTTTCAAAGTGAAATCCAACCAGCCCCTTAAGGGGGCTCCTCTGGAGCCCACGTGGGAAAGGAACAAGGAAGTGGACAGGTGTAGCGCCCGCCTGGGGAGCAAGTTACGTAAACCATTTGCAAGTCGTTTTGATTCTCTCTTTAGAAGTGTCCTCTTTGCGCAATAAAAACAATGTATTTGTTGGTACAGTACATTAATTCCATTAAAATCACATTAAGTGTAATGAAAAGCTCTCAGAGTCTAATTATGCCTCGAACTACAGACCCGCATCCACTTTTAAACCCAGTGCAATTACAACAGGAGGCGAACCTGTCTGGTAGACAAATGGTTGCTCCATTTCCAAATGATTATGACTAAAGGCCCACTGTCCCAATGCTATCAACCATACACTACATACATACGCAGACTCCAAAATCTGTGCCTTACAGGGCCCCGGCCGAGGTTTTCCGGGACCCTGCCTGTTCCCAGGGCCAGCCAGACCCACACTGTGCTCATTCCCTTCTGAACAATGGCCCTGGACAGCAGTGACCTCCCCAGCAGCTCAGTTGTTGGGTGTCATGCCATGCACTGAAAGGTCACAGGTTCGATTCCCTATCAGGGCACATGCCCGGGTTGTAGGCTTGATCCCCAGTAGGGAGGCAGCCGAACCCTGATCCTCTTGCATCATTGATGTTTCTCTCTCTCTCCCTCTCTCTTCCTGTCTCTTTAAAAAGAAATTAAAACTTTAAAAAAAAAAAATCCATACTGAAGAAAGGCAGTTTTAAGTCTCTAGGCCTATGCACAATAATGAGTTAAAAAAGAAAAGGGAACTTTCATGTGAGTAACATATGAGTAGTGTATATTATCTTGCAAATATAATTCAAATACATTTTCCCATATAAGTCACCTCAAATCAAGATCTGATTTCTCTAATAGCTCTCGTCTGAAAAGAAATAAGGAACAGGAGTGAAGAGACACACACGTCCGCAGCTTCTTTAATTGCATTTTCTGCAAAACCCTGCAGTTCTATTTTTAATATTTGATTACACCATCCACAGAGCCATATTCCACAAAAGCAATTACATTTTGCACAGCGGAAAAATCAGAATGGAATAACATGCGGCACACTACCAACGGTAAGAAGCAGCAGCAGCAGCAATTTAGAACATTTTAGGATAATGACTGAGATCACGGATTCGGAAGTTACAGCAAACACATTTTACAGACAACTCTTCACAGAGTTGACTGCAAGTTTAAGTTAGGCACGACGCAGATGGGGTGAGGGGTACCGCTGAGGGAGCCCAGTATTTTATCAAAACATTGGCGGAGGCCCTCTGAGCACCTAAGCTGTAACTTACCACACACTCTCCTCGCCAGCTCTCTCCAAGTCCAGAAGCAGCACTTACTAACCCGCAGTGCTTCCCTTGTCTTCAGGGCTTTTGCCTGAATGTCCCTCCAGCGGTAACAGAGCAGATGATGTCCCCTGCTGTGTTCATGCTTCTTTACGATATTTTATTGTCTTTTGTGTTTCTATTCTTCCTGTGTTTGTTATTTTGGTCAACTTTTCTATTGGTTTGTTGTTTCCCTTTTTGAGGCATTTGGAAATTATATATCTCTTTCCTACACAATTTTTAAACACCTATTTGAAATGATAGATCCAACACATGAATAGCGATAACACACATGCCTACAGGTTTTGTAGGTAGCTGTGTTTTCTACCACAGATGTTTTGAGCAACCACATTGGTTATCAACCATTCAGACTTAGCTTCACATTTTCTTGTTTTAATTGCTCACTGCTGCATTGTTTAAGCCAGTTCTTTTCATCCCTTGATTTACTTGTTATTAATAATATTCTGCGTTTGGCTTATGCACGTCCATTCTTTTTTTTTTTTTTTTCTTCCAGAAATGAAATGCAGAGGCGTTTAGTTATTTTTCTGAAGATATCTATTGTTTGCTCATTTATATGAACGAGCTTAGGAATCTCACCTACAGAAAGCCTAGAGAAATTTGCTTAACAACCTTTCTCCTTCCAAAATAAACACAGGCTGCTGCATTATCTGCTGGCATTTTGCTTTGGGGACATTCTCTAAGACCTCTTCACCTTGAACGTGCAAAACTGACACAGAGGTGTCAACAAATCCATCCCCACCTGAGCAGGATGCTCCCTGGCCCTTTCTGGCGAAGGAATACTGTGATGCGCGCCTAACCTCCTTACTTATTATACAAATTATCTTTCAAACGGAATGGCAAGTGAGAAAACAGACATGTTTAAGAGTCCGTGGGGTAAAATAATGATCAAAGCACAAACTGGGCCGGGATGTTCCTAGAATCACTGGAAGTCTGAAATTGATTTGAGAACAGCCCTGTGGTTAGCCTTATGCATTCCTAATCAATTCTCTCATGGGAAGCTTTTGGACAGCTACACTCTCACACACTCAAAAATATGTATTTCCATTTTTAAAAGCATCACTTTTCCATTTTTCGTAAGCTGTCATACCAAAAGGAAAAAGTAAAATTTTCTGAATTGTTTAAATATGCATGGCTAGGACACAGAATACAAAATGGGCAGTGTCCTCAGTCCATGCCCACAGTGCCACATGCATCACTATATTGTAAAGAGCACCCAGAACTGACAGGTTTGATAACGTGGGGGTTTTCCTGCGCTGCCATTCACCAGCTCATATCAAAGTTAGTAGAATGAAAATGTCAAGAAACAGCGTCACATTTGGAAACCACAAAATACAAAGATGGAGCTGTCAGTCACCCCTGATGCTTGCCAAATGAAAAGTTTAAATATAGTCATGGGTGAGCAGAACTGCTGGCAGCCTCGTAAGCTCACCAGGCAAGGCCTGGTCCTTTTTGTCTAACACTATATAACCCCAGCTCCAAACACAGGACTGGGCACACAGCAGGCACTAAGTTCTTTATGCACGAATGGTAGGTGACTGGGTGGGTGGATGGATGGAAGGGTAGGTGGGTAGGATGGATCGATGAATGAACTGATAGATGAATGCATGGGTGACTGGGTGAGTGGGTAGGTGGATGGATGAAGAAATGGGTAGAAGGATAAATAGATGAGTTGATGGGTGAGTGGGTGGATAGATGGATGGGTAGGTGGGTAGAAAGATGAGTGAATGGATGGGGTGGGTCGGTAGGTGGGTGGATAGAGGGAGGATGGATGGATGGATGGGACGATGAATGAACGGACAGATGAATGGAGGGGTGACTAGGTGGGTGGGGGGATAGATGTATGAAGAAATGAGTAGAAGCATAAATAGATGAATGGATGGGTGAGTGGGTGGGTAGATGGATGGGTAGGTGGGTAGAGAGATGGGTGGGTGGGTGAATGGATGGATAGTGGATGGATGGATGGAACAGTGAATGGAAGGAAGAGGGAGAGAGGGAGGGCGGTGGAAGAATAACCCTGCACAGCCACCTCTGATCTGACCCATCTTTAATGGTCCTGGAAACCAACACCTCCCCCAAATAGCCAAGGATCCATCCACTCTGAGTCTTGGGTGGGCTGACAAAGGACAGCAGGGACAATAAAATGGAACTGCGCTACAGGTCTGTCTCCCGCTGTCCCTCCCTCCCTCTCTCCCTCCCGCCCACTCTCTGAAAGCAAGGGGAAAATATTGTTGGGTGAGGGTTCACAATAAAGCCAAGGTGAGTAGCTTCACATGTAGGTTTCATTGCCGTCGCTGGTTTTAGTCTAGACCCTTTGAAGTAGGACACATGAGTCGCCAGGCATAAAGGTTGTACTGTCCTCATTCCCTCCAGTGGGTATGAGAGTGGTCACCCCGACACACTCACGCACACTGAGAGCCTATATAAGAGGCTCTTTACTAGCTTGGGGGACCTTTCCCCTCTTTCTCCCCCCCCCCCCCCCCACACACACACAAAGAAAGGAGCTTTGTTCATTTGCATCTTCTACGTTCAGCACTTTCCCGGTGACTTGCCTTTGGTATCTCTTCAGCGCCGTGCCCAGTGACTCGACTAGAGTCTGCTGCAGACGCCGCCGTGGGACGTTAATGCCTCCCTATTGATTTGTGGCTGCTTTTAGTGTAATAGGGATGGATGGGGAGGGAGACAGTGCTATGTCCCCACTTGCCAGTTCCGGGGGTGGGTGTTTGACACACACACAGGATGCTAATGGAGTTGTGGTCCATTTTATCAGTCTTCCCCCTTATTAGGCCTTCCACTGCACGTAGGGTGTCTCAGTCCTTCAGCCGGGGATCTAACCATCTGGGGGACATTCCCTTTGCCTCATTTCCTTGATTGAAAATGGAAGATACAGAGAATGAC